TTCTCTATTGATTTTATTATGTCAGATATGAAGGACAATGTGGAGATCCCAGTTTTTTTTTTTTGACATTTTCTTGCAATTGGTAGGCCGAATATTAATTAATAAAAAATGGAGTTAACTATTAGAGCACACAGTGAGAAAATAAATTTTTCAAATTCATGATTTTATATCACCACTGATGATATTCATGATCAATGTTTAAGATTAAAAATCAAAAAGGTCACAAGAGATTTTAAATGAGAAGTTGAAAAAGAGATTTAATAATTCAAAAAGAAGAAGATATAAGATCACAACAGAATGTGACAGGAGAATCTCGATGACAATTAAAAAAATTAGCAAGAGATAGATGATTATTAAACTGGATATTTTATTATGGAGAAAAATTAGGACTTGACTTGACCTTATCAGACTGAGGGGGTTAAATAAGTGCTACTTGGAAGACATCTCAAACATTATCTTGTTGTGAGATTGCATGTTTGCTTTATTTTTTAAAACATGTTTAGGACGGGGTAAGGTTGAGAAATTTAAACCAACCGTTTATTTGGAGGTAATCCAAAATATTTCATTTATTTTTTGGTGTGTTTATGTATGTTTTGCTTGTTAGAATCTATATAACCACTTTCCTCTCATAAAATTTAGGAGTTTGATGTTATAATTTATGTTGCTTATGCTTCTGATCTTAGACATGTCATGCATATTTTTGTTTAGATTTATGTCTAGATTCATATAACTTAGTATTTTACTTTCATGATAGTTATATTGTTATATGATTTATCTTATATGTCCTCGATTGGTGAGTCACATGTGTTATATGCTACTGTTTGCATCTTAATGTTGTTTTGTTATATTTTCATGTTCTAGCTTACTATGCTCATCTCATTGTTTTGTTGTATTTGCATATATAGTGTCAAAAATATGATTTGGGGTGTTATTTGTATTAATTTTGCCTTTTAAGTTAATGAAAAGGTCCAACTTTACACTCTATATAAAGTATGGGACAAAGGAAGATAAGAGTAGAGATGAATTTAAGTAATAAGTTACAAACCAATGACAGAAAATTTTAAAGGGTCAGATTAGGATCATAAACTAAATAGTATGAAAAGGTCCAACTTTACACTTTATATAAAGTAAGGGACAAAAGAAGATAAGGGTAGAGATGAATTTTAGTAAAAAGTTACAAACCTAAATTCCACTGGCAGAAAATTTTAAAGGGTGAGATTAGGATCATAAACTAAATAGTCTTGATCTCTGATTTTTAGTAATACTAACACACACACACACACACACACACACACACACACACACACACACACACACACACACACACACACACACACACACACACACACACACACACACACACACACACACACACACACATATATATATATATATATATATGTACATATAGTTTTTCATAAGTTCATAAGTGAGCGGTGAATAATTATAAAATTAACAACTCAACACAATAAAATTTAGTCATTGCTTACTTAAAAGTGTAATTCCTAGTTAGTATCGGTTAAACTACAAATTTATTGGAAAGATAGGAAGTAACTGAAAATTTGACTTAGGATAGGCCTATTAATTTAAATCATAAAAAATGAGCTTAACTAGATATACTCTTTAAAAAGAAAAAAAAAAATTTGTTCATGTTTATGAAGACAAAATTTAGGAACCTAAGAGGAGAAGCTTAAAATTAAGCTAAAATTAAAAATTAATAATAATAAACCATTATAATAAATCAAAGATTAGCAACTTACTAATTTTATCATGAAATTTAAATACGATAACAACAGAGTTAATATTATTTAAGTGCTTCCGAAATTATGTTTGATGTATTAATTTTATATAATTATAACCCCACATAAGTAATTCAAGATGAATTGTATAGATCTATTATTAATGTGAGAAATTGGGATATTAGGTTGTTGCTATGAAAATTCTATCTAAAAGAGGGACCAGGGCATTTTGATATAAAAGTTTGTTGAATTGTTAAAAATCACTGAAATTTTTTATTTAGGATCTTCCCTAAATTCTATTAAATTTAAATTTTGGATTTTAAAATTAGTTTAAGGCAAGTATTGTCTATATTTGTGGGAATTTGATGTGTACTGGAAAGGTGATTATATATGTTCAATTTCAGTCAATTTTTATGGTAGATTTATGCTTTTAGAAGGTGTTTGTGATGTGATTCGTAGGATTCAGGAAAAAAGATTTATTGGGGGTGAATAACTAAATAAACATGCTAAGCAAAGGAGCAACGCGACGAAGTCGGAGTGGAGCACCTAGGCATTGATGGAGCTGGAATCAATCTCACATAACAAGATTTCCTAGAAAACAACAAAAATACAATTCCCCAAACAGAATTGTGGTGGTGACCCTAAATACAACACTTATAAAAAATTATCTCTAGATCCAAGCCTATTCACAAACCATAATTAGATTTCATTCAGGGTTTGTTTTGGGCAGCTGCAACTTATCAATAAGCTGTTGCAACTTAGCTGCCCCACGAAGCTGCTGTGAATAAGCTGGCTGGTTGTTTGTTTTCTACGGTTTGAAAACGGCTGTGCTACAACAATTTTTGAAAAATAATCATTTTGCCACTGTGTAGTAATGTTGCTTATAAACAGAATTATCATAGTCATATATTTGATACTTATATAAAAATCTAGATAAACACCTTACTTGATAGTGAGTATCAAGATTGCTTAAAAATATTATGAAAATTACAGTTAATAGTATGATAATATTGATTTTAAAATGCAGACGACATATGAAGTATACCCAATGACTATGAATGCATAATATTCTCATAACAAACAGAAGCACTAACACCAACAACACCCCAGCTATCAAGTACACAACAAACATAAACATCACAGCCGAAATCCAACACAAACAACACCATAGCCAAAAAGTACCTTTGAGGTATTTCTTATCGAATTTTTAAAAGTGAACCCAAATGGTATCAATGCATAATATTCTCCCAAAGAGATTTTCTGAGGCTCTGTGATGTAATGCCTCACTCCATGAAGTTTCTGTGTGTGAAAAGAATTTCTTTTTAGTATAATTTTTGAAATTATGTTTGCATGAGCATCCTGAAGCAATCCTACTGTATTTATCTCCTAGCACTGATTATAGTGATCATGATAATGATGATCAATAAAAAAATATCTTTGAGGCATTTCTTATAGAATTTTATGAAGTACATCTAATGACTATCAATGTATAATACTCTCACAACAAACATAAGCACCAACACCAACAACACCCAAGCCAAAAAAAATAATTTTGAGGCATTTCTTATAGAATTTTTCAAAGTGAACCCAAGGGCTATTAATACATGATATCCTCACAAAAAAATTTCCTGAGGTTCTGTGATGCAATGTCTCACTCCATAAAGTTTCTGTGTGTGAAAAGAACATCTTTTTAGCATAATTTTTAAAATTGGGGTTACATAAGCATGTTGAAGCAATCATACTGTATTTGTCTCCTAGCAATGATGAAAGTGATCATGACAATGATGATCAATGAAAAAGTACATTTGAGGTATTTCTTACAGAAATTTTCAAAGTGATCCTAAGAGGCTACGAATGCATAACATTCACTCACAGAAATTTTCAAGGCTCTGTTATGCAATGCCTCACTCCATGAAGTTTCTGCATGTGAAAAAAAAAATTAATATAATTTTTGAAATTGGATTTGCATGAGCATGATGAAGTAATCCTACTGTATTTGTCTCATAGTAGTGATGATAATGATTATTTCAATGATCATCAATAAAAAAATTCATTTGAGGCATTTCTTATAGAAATTTTCAGAGTGAACCCATATGGCTATGAATAGATAACATTCTCTCAAGAAAATTTGCTGAGGCTCTGTGACACAATGCCTCACTTCATGAAGTTTCTGTGTGTGAATATAATTTCTTTTTAGCATAATTTTTTAAATTGGGTTTGCATGAGCATGACGAATCAATCCTATTATATTTATCTCCTAGTAGTGATGAAAATGATCATGACAATATTGTTCAATGAAAAAGTACCGTTGAGGCATTTCATGTAAATTTTTTTAAAGTGAACTCAAGGGGTATCAATGCATAATATTCTCTCAAAAAGATTTCCCGAGGCTCTGTGATCCAATGTCTCACTCCATGAAGTTTCTATGTGTGAAAAGAATTTTGTTAGCATAATTTTTGAAATTGGGTTTGCATGAGCAGGATGAAGTAATCTTACTGTATTTGTCTTCTAACAGTGATGATAGTGATCGTGGCGATGATGATCAATGAAACAGTAACACGAAACAAAAAAATCACAACCGAAATCCAAATGAAGCAAATCCACGAGAAACTAAAAGATCTTAAAGATTAGGTGCAAAATCACCTAGAGAATATAGGGAATTGGGATACTGAAAGAAGATGGCGTCCGGAAAGACTGGTTAGGGCAAAGGAAGCGAGAGCTCCGCGAGGAAGGAAATGGTAGACGACGAACACAGGGTCAAATCCAAGGGGCAAGCGCTTAAATGAAAGGAGGAGAAATGTGGTCGCGAGGTCGAACCTGCGGCCGCGTAAATGAAAGGAGTTAACAATTTTTTTATAAGCAGTTATATTATAAATAAAATAAACATGTAGTTTAGAATATTTATATCGAGTATAATGTTTATTTATAGACATATAAATTTTAAGATTCCAAATTTATAAATTTAAAAATAAAATATTTTATCAAAAAATACAATAGAAATTGAATGTTGAAAAAGAAAAAAAGAAATTTCACAGCACACAATTCTTATACATATAGGCATCTCACACCAACATTTTCATTTTTACAAATCCAGCACTCAATTCAAATTTCTAACAGTGAAATCCATATTTTCATTTATTAAAATGTGTGCTAAATATGTAAATTCCCGGAAAATAAAAATAAAAATAAAAATAAAAATCCGCGACAGTGAAAATGAAAACCATCAAAATCCCAGAATAGAAGTCTATAAAATTGAAGGCTCGAAACGGGCACGAGGTCTGGTCCGATCTAGATAAGGCTGTTTGTTCATTGCGCCCCAGGCTTAGTGCCCGTATTCCCCACACGTCGTCGTCTTCCTCCTACTCCTCTTCCTTGTGCCCGATACCAATCCCCTATACCATCGATTACTTCTCCACCATCTGGTCAATCCCTTGGCCACCATATCCCTCTCTCTCTCTCTTTCTCTCTCTTGATGCACATCTGAGGTATGGATCGAATCATCGGTGGGAAATACAAGTTAGGTCGGAAGATTGGAAGTGGATCTTTCGGCGAGATCTACCTAGGTGACATCTTATTCACTTGTTTGATATTCTTTCTGGGCTGATCGTCGTTGCCGTCCTTCTGATTTGTTTTTTTTTTTTGGTTTCATCATTGGTAGCTACGCATGTCGACTCTTTCGAGATCGTCGCCGTCAAGATCGTGAGTATACATCCGTTGCTTTCTTCTCCGAGCGTTAGTTTATATTTTTGTTTTCTTGTTCTGATCTGATTTACCTGCATGAATTAATTTATTAAGCACTTATTCGTTCCCCTTTTCGTTCCCGCTTCCTTATAAAACTGGTGTTGCTGTTAATTTATTTTGGGAAATAGATGTTGGTGTGTTTATCTAGGAAACTTGGTTAATTTTTTTTCCTAATTTCGTTTGTGTATGTGTGTGTTTGTTTCAAGTATGTGTATGTGTGTGTTTGTTTCAAGTATTTGGTTTGTTGTTGATATAACAAGTATGTGTATGTGTGTGTTTGTTTCAAGTATTTGGTTTGTTGTTGATATAAATTGTGATCCCACTGCTTGTTTTAGGGCTCTTTTGGTTGCTTGAAGCTTGACAGTGTGATTTGAAAGACGGTGAAATTTGTTAAATCTATTAATGGTTGGATGACATGTGAACTAACACATATTTAATGGTTTATGAGTCTTCTCAAAACTGCTATAAATGTAATGATTTTGTTTACACTCTCAAAACGAGTGAAAATGAAATCACCAATATCATGTTTTGCAACCAATCGAGTCCTACGAGGAAAAACTTAATGTTTATTTATATTTACATGAGAGTTTAGTTTTATCAGTTAATTTTTGTATCATTATCCAGTAGTTTTTGATGATCAAATGAAGCTCATATTTATTTTGATTAGGAAAATAGCAAGACGAAGCACCCACAACTGCTTTATGAGGCCAAACTCTACAACATTCTGCAAGGAGGAAGTATGTTCTATTTTTCATTAGGGAAATTTACATAAATACCACAGAATTCTTATGTATTTACATATCTAACACCTAAACTTTCATATTTACATTATTAGCACTTTGGTGTGTTAAATCTATGCATGCAAAGGTGTGTTTAACTTTTAAAAAAGTAGATTATAGTGGTATTTTTGATTTGATATTAAGCATTTGAGTGATATGCATGTAAATATTAAAATTTGGGTTTTAGATATGTAAATACATAAGAATTGTGTGGTATGTTTGTAAATGCTTCTTTTCTTGAATAGTGCTTGTCTAGATGGCTGATAATTCACATTACTTCTAATTTCATATATACAGGTGGTATTCCAAACACAAAATGGTGTGGTTTGGATGGGGAGGACAATGCCCTTGTTCTTGACTTGCTTGGTCCTAGTCTTGAGGATTTGTTTGTCTATTGTGGAAGGAAATTTTCTTTGAAAACAGTCTTGATGTTGGCTGATCAGATGGTAAAGAATATGATGTGTTTACTATGCCATTTTTTATTATGGAACTTGTAAAAGAGTTGATTTCTTATGAACTCTTACTTCTGTAAAACTAGTTTTCAAGCATAGGAGCAGGCAGTTTGGTTCATTGCAGCTTGGAGAGCCAGATATTGCGGGTTCTCTATGGTTTTGCTAATGTTCTTATGCTTGCTTCTAGGAAAGCCAAAATGTGCGTTAGATCAGGTTTCATTTCTAGTGTAAGCTGGCCCAATTTTTTGCAATAAGCTTGGCATGTTTCATTAAGATTGGCTCACGGCTATTAAAAAGTTTCTTTTTTTTTCCTACTACCGGCACATAGTCTTAATGGGGTGCTTTGATACTGGGTAGATATTTAGATTAGAAAATAGATTGCATTTTAATCAGATATAAAAAGGAAACATTTAACATTGAGTCAAGCTGTAAGTTAATATTTATCCACTTTATTTTGTTGATGCTACATTCATTTATTCAGTTAACAGGACTTTGTTACTGAGATTCTTAAATTTAATCTTTTTTGTTAATGTCATTTGACATTCTTTTTTTGTTGTTGTCAATTATCATAAATTATTTTCACTATCCATGGAATGTAATGCAACACAAGCTTTACAAACTAAGCTGTTTATAATATAAGTTGTGCCTTTGTTTCATTAACAATGTTGATTTTGTTGGTAGAGGGAATAACTGGCTGTTTGTTTGGTTAAAATCATTAGTCTGTATCCAACCAAACAATCCATTTTTTGTAACTGCTCTACTGAAAAATATGCTTTTCAATAAAAGACAAACTGGCCTTAGTTTGTTTTGATTGATTACTTGTATCTCTTTTTTAATTGATTCTCTTGTTAGTGATTCTATGATCAAATTTACACCCTACCTTTTTATGTGTGATTCAGATAACTAGAATAGAGTATGTGCACTCAAAGGGCTTTTTACATAGGGATATTAAGCCTGATAACTTTCTTATGGGGCTTGGTCGGAAAGCGAACCAGGTGGCTGCTATTATTTATTTTTTGTCACCAATTTGTGGTTTCTTGATGGTTATCTAATTTGCATTACTTATGTTGCAGGTGTATATAATTGATTTTGGGCTTGCAAAAAGATATAGAGATGCTACTACCAACCGTCATATACCATACAGGTTTGATTGTGTTTTTAAATATTTCAGGTTTATATTATGGTAGCATCTTATCACTTATTGTCCCATATTAATTTGCTTCACGATTCATCTGTCATATTGATTTATCTTTTGCCTTTGCATCTTACTGTGAAGTTTTAGAGCTACATCTAGTTACTTGAGGATATGTTCCAAGATTTTATGTTGCATTATCAGGATTATGTGTTGCATGATCATGATAATTTGGTTATTATTTATCGGACCATGCATATTTTTCAACATAAGTACCACTCAATATCCAAGTTTTTACATTTCTGACCCCTAAACTTCAATTTTTACATACATACAACCTTACCTATGCATGAAAAGGTGTATTTACTTGTTAACAATTAAAATGGTGGTATTTTTCACGTGATATGAAAGATTTGGGTGGTATAAATGTAAAAAAAAAAATTAGGTGTTAGATTAGGTGTTAGATATGTGTGTTAGATATGTAAATACATTGGAATTGGATGGTATGTATGTAAATGCCCCAAACTAGAAAGATACATAATTGAATTGTTTCTGTTGTTGGATAATGCTTATCATTTCTTTCACATGTACAATTAATGTTTATCTACGATTGAGTGATTTACATGCTAGATTAGTTTTAATTCCTGCAAAAAGGAAATAAATAAATAAAAAAAAGAGCG